CAAGAGCTTGTAACACTCCAAAGAGAAAGGAAAAATTGAAATCACATCATATGACCCCTTTAAAGTAGCATTAATACCATAGCATATAAATATGGTAATCATACATAGATGTGTAAATTATCTAAATACCACGGTATTAACATATGATACCATCATGGTACGATGCCTCAGATGTTTACACTTTTGAGGACTAATTTGTGCTTCTTTGCAGATACAGCATGATTATGCTAAACGTCACAAGAGCCTTTAACCTCATTTGTTCATTTTTTTTTTGTTTTCAGTTTATTATTGTTCTGAGAGGAAGATAGATTTGTCATTAGAGGTAAATATTGACTGTTTGACTCACGGTGGGGCTCTTGGAGCCACATTATGAATAGAGATCATTTGACTGATTGGTAACGGAGACATTAATAAAGAGCATTTCTTATCACTGTCAGTCCTATTGAGCTGATCATAGTTTATTGTCTGCTGCTTCAGTGTGGAGAGAGAGATTGCAGGAGTCTGCAGAGCACAGAAGGGCTCCCACCAGCACCACTAGTAGTACTTGCAGGGTTTTGTACACCACCAACTGCCATCATTCACACCACTTCAAATAAAACTTCCATAACTACAAAGCCACTACACTGCTGTCAGAAAAGATGTGCATATCCAAGATGGGAAGTTTTTTTTCTCAAAAAAAAAAAGAAAAAAAAAGAAGCTATCTTCTATTCCAGTTTAATGAGGTATGCTGGTACTCACTTTATAAAAGAACCTCACATTATAAAAGAAAACAAAGAAATGCACTGACAGATACACACTGACAGTGGACTTACAATGTACAAATGTTCAATATTTGCCCATTACATTTCAATTGTAAGTTTTTTTAATTTTTTTATTCCATTTTTATTTTGCCAAAGCTGAAGTTTGATTTAAAATAATTTTCTAATGTGATAAACAACAGAAACAATGGAAAAAATTATTCCTCTAGCTTACATGTTTGACACTTTAGCTTGGGGACCAATTCTCGCTATTAAATAGCTATTAACTACGACTTTTGCCTCAATAAACTCCTAATTTGCTGCTTATTAATAGTTAGTAAGGTAGTTGTTAAGTTTAGGGTTGGATTAAGGGATCTAAAATATGGTCATGCAGAATAAGGCATTAATATATGGTCCCATTGCAGAGAGGCACAAAATCACTCTCCAGGACGGTCTTTTTCACCGTACCCTGTTGGTGGAATGACCTACCTAACTCCATCAGGATAGCCAAATCTCTCACAATCTTCAAGAAACAACCGAAAACTCATCTCTTCTGTGAGCATCTAACTGCCTCCTCATAAAAAATAAATAAATAAATAAAACAAATTAAAATAAAAAAACAAAAAAGTAGAATACAATAAAATAAAAAATAAAAACCTATGCCTTCACTTTTTCTGTTATCTTTTATCCTTATCCCTTCCTGTCCTTGCTTTTACTATTTGAACGATGACTGAAACCTTGTATAGCAGGCACTTCTCGTGTTTATTGCCAACTTATGGTAAATCGCTTGATGTATTCCTCAATTGTAAGTCGCTTTGTATAAAAGCATCTGCCAAATTAATAAATGTAAATGTGCTTCATAAATTCTAATAAATAGCCAATATGCTAGTAATATACTATTCTAATAAGCAACTAGTTAATAGTGAGAATTGGTCCCTAAACTGAAGTGTTTGCAGGTAAAACACGTATCCTAAATGTATTGTCAAGACTGGGTATTCACTAAACGACTGTTGCGTACATTTTTGCCTTGATTTGCAGTCTGAAGGAGTCAACACTAGTTGCTGAAAGTCAGAGCCAGTATGCAGATTTTAGGCAGTCAGAGTTGACAGATTTCACAGAGAACCATGTAGCATATAGCGACACAGATTCCGATTTTTTTTAAGCTTCAGACCATGATTCCATTCATTCTGTGGATTTCAAACATGTTTGATATTTCGAGCCAATTTTAGAACACATATTGTTTTCATCTGTCATGAGTCTCCTAGCAACAAGGCGCCTGTGTTTGTTGTATTCTAACAACTTGACCGTCTGGTATTGTGTGATCCTGAGTAGTGTGCATGAAGCCCAGTTTTTCCTCTGTAACCATTTTCAAAATCTCCAAGTGTATGTTGCCTGAAAAGTGTTCAGATTTTCTGTCCTGACTTTCACCCCTGCAGCGTATTCCAGCATTTAGACAAATGCATCTGACAAATGCTTAAATGTTAATGTTGATGCTTTTGCAGTTGATTGTTTTGCAATTATTTTTGGTGCATAAATGACCGACTTTAACCCTGCCATTTAATATCTCTCCAAGTTGTTTCAATAGCGCAGTGCAAACTACTGAAGTTACACGGCACCTTTTCACTTTTTGAATACTTCTGCACCTGTCACATATTAACAACATACCCAGACATTCACTTCCCATCCATCAAGGGCAACTTGAACCTGCTCCCATCCACCTGAACAAAATACCATGCTCCTCTGCAGCCCTCACGCAGGGCAGAATTAGCATGTATAGTCTCTGTTGATCAGCCCTTGTGATGACTCACTGCACTGCCTCCACAAAATGGCTGTGCCAATATGTCATTTAACCCAAAGCTGTGATTTGCCCTGTTCACCGAGCACTTATCTCCCCCGTTTCAGGGGAAGCAAACAACAACAGTCGAGACAAACAGCCTACACCTCAAATATATTACCATCTTCCGTTCAGACTAATAGATCTGTCTATCTCGACGTTTGATGCATCCTAGCGCATTTGAAGGTGTGTTATTTACATACTAGCTGGTTGATATTACAGTTTTTGGAGTTGTAGCAGAAGGTTTGAAAGGATGTTGGATATGTGCCATACATTTTTCCAAGAGAAGTGCCTGCAAACCGCTGTTATTATTTGTTTGACCATAGCACTGAGCAGAACGGCAGAAATAATGATTGTTTTGAAACACAGAGAAGCCCCCAAGTTGTGATCTCGAGAAAACAAGACAAATTAGCTGCTAAGATGCTCTTGCCATTCAGGAGTTGTGGCAGTGGAAGGTTTAAATGGAGGCTGGCTGTCCTTTGTGTGTAGGCAGAGGGCTTTAGCTACTGATTGATATGACCCAACCTATACCTTCAGCAATCAGCAGCTCATTATCTCAGCGAAATTACTACATCATCCAGCCCAAGTGACTGTAATGAGCTAGCATAAAGAATCAGGGCTCTGATCCACCATCATCTCCCTCATCTTTATCCGCAGTCTCTCCTTCTCTCTCTCTCTTTCTCAATGAAGCTTGTTTTCCTCTATTCCCTCCCACCACCCAGTCATCGGTTATACTCTAACTGCTCTGACTTTTCTTTCACTTTTAAGGTCTCTCTCTCTCTTTTCTTCATTTTTAGTGAAGTCACTCACTCCTGAACCAACAGGCGATGGATTTTGCACTCTGTGCCCTTGCCTTTGAGTCTTCTCCGTTGAGACCCAAAGTTTTCTAATACGTCGTCTTTGCTTGTTTCCTGCAGGGTCCCATTGAGAACGATGTGGTCATTCATGTGGCCCTGATAGCAGAAAGTCAAAGGTAAATACATTTCTCAAGTCTCTCTCTGTCTTCATCCTCTGGTTTAATTGATGCATGCACACTAATTATTGGGCTATTCTGTAGCCTTCATCTATCAGCGCCCTCATTTAAAGCTTTTCTGGTGAGAGGGGGAGGTGAAAGAGGTCGTGTGGCCAGCTGGTCCCAGCCAGGCCTGCTCTGCAGTTCATTTAACATTGTTCACCCCAGCACTTAACCCACCTCTCCCCTTATTCACTCTCCAAACCTTAATCAGGATTACTTGTCTAACCCAACCATCAGTTCCTTCATTTAAAGCAGCAAGTTCCACTTAACACCTCACCTTGCCTGCATATCTTGAATAATGTTGTTTAAATATTTACATTTTCGTTGAACCCCACAGCATAAGAAGTGCCTGTAGAACATTCATTTATATAATCACAGTGTCATGCAAGATTGTGTTGCCCTTGGACCTTAATGGATACTTGACTTCAGTGCTTGATTACAAATCCTACATAACAACATTAGGATGTATGTTGCCTATGTAAATATGACAATTAAAATCTTTGAAATTATGTCACAGATCATATTATATAACCAAAGATTAAATGGCCAAATGGATCCTTTTCACATTTCCAGGGTTCTCAGAATTACAAAAGTCATTATAGTTGGGTAAACTTTTATAGTGATGACTATAAAAATCTACAACAAACGTAATTTTTGCATTCTCGTCTGCTCCAATTGCAAAAGAAAAAAAAAATCCATGATAGCGTTATCTGTTTGACTTTAAAAAAGAGTAACAAATTATCAAGAGTTTGAGTACATTGGTCAAAATTTGCTATCATCTATTAGTAACATCATAACATCATACATATTTAGAACAAGGTTTGAAGAACAAGATTTGAACAGGATTCATATTAAGCGAGATGTTAGACATAGTACCACATTAAAAGCAGGGTATGTAATTTGGTTCAAACACATTTTTGTTATGCCAATTGAAACTCTTTTCACATCCTGATAGCAATCACTAAGTTAAGTGGTCTAAATGTATTGATATAAATTTATATCGTCTGTGGAAGGCATAGGACCATAAAATGTTCAACCAGTCATAAGCAATACAATGTAGTAATAAGAAATTATTTTTTCCTCAGCTAGAATCGCTATTAATGTGCTTTGTTTTGAAACAGACATTTTGAAACAAGGCGATAGAACAATTGCACCAAATGGAATTACAATAGAATGATTGTTTCCAAATGCATAGAAGAACACGGGTTATGATCTCAAGAAAACAAGCCAGAAAAATTATAATAGCATATATCTTCTGTTGGCTTTTATTTGTTGTTATTTTTGCAGTTCCTTTTTGATTCCACTAATGGTGCAGAAATTACACACACCTTTAATAGAGTTGTTTTTAATGTGTAATAGTCTCTGTCTTGCTTGTGTCTTTCAGATTGCAGGTCTTCCTCAACACCTATGGCATCCAAACTCAGACCCCACAGCAGGTGGAGCCCATTCAGATCTGGCCCCAGAAAGAGCTGGTGAAGGTATGACTGTTCAATCAATCAAACTGACCAACAAACAAATCTTCCAGGCTGATCAATTTCAGTGACAGTCGCTCCATTAGACCACTGGTCAGTTTGGACCGACTGGCACATCAGTCATGTCAGCCGGTGAATTATTTGTGCATGCTCTTAAAGATTTACACCATGGATTGAACCTCACTAGAGCACTATTGATTAAATCAGTTTGACAAAAGACTCTGAAAATAGACTTTAATATTTTCGCAGATATATAAATGTCCTTTGTGAATATACTAGCAAAATATGAATTCATTGTGACAATATATCAATAGAATGTAGTGTTCATTTACTGACCAACCTGGTCTAAACTTGTCGTCATAAATCAGATTATTAGAATAGTTTTAGGGGTCAGAAATCTTTTGTAAATGACACAATGTCACATTTGACTAATGATGCACATTTGAATTTCTTGAATGATTCTTGAACGAAAGGAGCAATAGCACTAGGTTGATTGCTAGTTATGATATTCTTTGATAAAATGATTAAATTATTAATTTGTATTAATTTACACTACCACTTAAAAGTCAGCAGACATTACTCCAGCCTTCAGTGTTACATGATCCTTCAGAATTCATTCTAATAGGCTGATTTGGTGCTCAAATACCCTTTCTTATTATTCGTGTTATTAGTTGTGCTGTTTACTGTTTTTTTGGAAACAATGATACATTTATTTCAGGAATCTTGGATGAATAGAAAGTTAAAATAAGATTTGAAATATAAATCTTTTTAAAACATCATGAATGTGAATGTCATTTTTGAGCAATTTAACGTGTCCTTGCTGAATAATAAAAGTATTTCTTTAAAATATTTTTAAACGGCAGTGTATTATTAAAGGGGTCATATGATGCAATTTCAATTTTTCTTTCACTTTGGAGTGTTACAAGCTCTTGGTGCATAAAGAAGATCTGTAAAGTTGCAAAGACTAAAGTCTCAAATCCAAAGAGATATTCTTTATAAAAGTTAAGAGTCAGCCACGCCTACCTAAAACGGCTCGTTCTAACACGCCCCCACATATCTACGTCATCTATAATATCTGTTCTGTTAATTCTATATTAAATAAATTTTATATTTAAATCAATCTGTTCTATTAATCAGTAAATTAGTGAATCAAGCCAGAGTCAGTGGTCAACTTAACATCGGCCTCATGACTCAAAACAAAACGTGTCCAGATTCTGAATAAATTCTACACAGAAATACTAGAACGCTGCTAAAATGAGTGAATCTTTTTACTGTGCAGGCCATACAGAGTTTTGGACTCTGGGGACTCCCATTATAATTATCGAAGCTGTCTACGCGCTCTTATTTACACTCTCTACACCTTGTTGATTATAATGTTTATAATAATTACTTTCTTGCAATATATATTGGCTGTTACTCAGTCTACGTGGTGAGCAGTGCAGCGTGCAAATCTAAAATCTTTCCAAGTTACTGTCGATGCCTTACGCTTTGGTTCTACACAAGCTTGTTGTTGTGTCAGGTGATGTTTCTTCAGCGCTCATTATCGTGTGCCACAACAATGGAAATGCATTCATGGATCATACTGCTTATGCAAACTCGCTCATTAGGACTGTTTGTCGTTTCAGATAAACTAATTGAAACAAATTCTGTGAATGGTTACAATGCTCAATGTGTTGTAAACAGAAAATGTTTACACAATGGTAGTAGATCTAAATCGAATGTTCTCATCAACATTTTTCATGATTACTTGATCGTGGATGTGATTGTAATTCAATTATTTATTTGATCAGTGGTGCATCCCTAATGTAGCTCTATCCTTTACAAATCCAAAACCTGATATTTTTTAATAATCATGTAAAACAGAAGCACAGATATGTGAGCGGTTCATAGGTTGACATGCTGTTTCTAATCCAAGCATCAAGGCTGAGCATGAACGTACTTATTGCAGAATCCTGCGTATTAAAGAGGTTTGTTTCAACATCAGCACACTGGCTTCACTGCCCCTCTTGATGTGCTACAGGCTTAACATGCGTGGCATTTGCAGGTTTCGTGTCAGGCATGTTGAGCTCCTGATTAGAGGGAGGGCACTCTCGATTCAGTTGTGTCTTCCCCTCATTGCTATTCTGCACACAAATTTTCCGAGGTACAGAGATCCGCACCGAGAGAAAAAGAGTTCTGGAGCACGAAGCTCTCTCGAAAAATGTTCGTTGTGACAACTGGATTTTGTCTAAATTAGCAGCTATTTTCCTGTTTCAGTTGGATATGAGCTGGATTCTCCTCAGCAGTGGCTTATTCTGCTTGTTCTGTCATTTTTTCTTCTTCTTTTTGTCGTGCTGTGCAGTACACTTTTGTACTGGAGTGTTATTCTGAGAATGTCAGACTGCAGGAGGTCAGAGAGAAATAGAGCTCCATCTAATGTCGTAAAGATGTCAGCACACTCTGACTTTGTCCTCCCTGCACTGGAGTATTATTACTGAGGCAAGCGTCACAAAGCGTTATTATTGCACATAACCAAGGTGAAGCCTTTTATGTTGCTACGCTTCAGGAGACGTGCACTATTACTTTTCTAAGCAATCAGACTTATTTCCACTTGGAAGACAATAAAATGGCCAAAAATAACATTAATTTAGATTGAAAGGTGAACCTGAGGAGTGAAGAGGCTATAAATCTCCAAGTGGGTGGACGTTGGTGAAATAAGGTGGCAGGGAGGCATGAATAAATCATGCAAATTACTGCTTTACTGCTCAGTGTTTTGCTCTGGTATTGTATTTGTTGTAGTTGTGTTGTCATGTGGTTGTCAAGTGTCACGGTCAGTGACACTGGTTTATGTGTTTGATTTTAAAGATACTGTTCACTGACTATACCTCTATTTATTAATTTCCTTGTTGTTGTTACTGTGACAGGAATAAAAGTGTCTAAAAAAGTGAATTAAAGTGTCTAAAAGTCTCAGCCAGTGTGGACCAATTACACTACCGTTCAAAAGTTTAGGGTAAATAAGGGTGTATTCACACCTGTCTTGTTTGGTTCGATTGAATCGAACTCAAGTTCGTTTCCCCCTTGGTGCGGATCTTTTGGTCAGGTGTGAATACAGCAATCACACTCGGGTGCGGACCAAACAACCGTACCGAGATCCAGCTGAAGAGGTGGTCTCAGTCCGGTTCCAAATGAACTCTGGTACGGTTGAATGGATGAACCAATGAATGGATGACCTTAAGCACACGTGTTGTTTTGTTTACAATTTCTGGTTCACTTGCAAAAAGGGCGGTGTGAAAGCGAACCGCACTTTGGTCCGGACCAAAGCAAGTGAACTAGCAGACTTTCCTGGTGTGAATACACCCTAAGACTTTTTTTTTTTTTTTGACAGAAATTGATGGTTTTATTCAGCAAGAACAAATTAAAGGGATTGTTCACCCAAAAATGAACATTTTGTCATTTTCTCACCCTCATGTTGTTCCAAACCGGTATGAGTTTCTTTTTTATGTTGAACATAAAATACGATATTTTGAAGAATGCTGGTAATCAATCAATCCATAGTATTTCTTTCCCTATGGAAGTCAGTGGGGACCAATAACTGTTTGGTTCAAAATTCTTCAAAATATCTTCTTTTGTGCTCAACTTTTTTTTACAGAGAAACTTACAGGTTTGGAATGACACGATAGTGAGTAAATGATGACAAAAGTTTCTTTGGGTGAAATATTCCTTTAAATTGATCAAAGATGTCAATAAAGACATTTATAATGTAACAATAAATATCTATTTCATATAAATTCAGTACTTAAAATTATTTTAAAGAGTCATAGAATCCTGAAAAAAAAACATGTTCACACTTTCCATACTTTTAGTGGCACAATCATTTTAAACTAATAGTAATAATCAGCATATTGGAATGATTTCTGAAGGATCATGTCACACTCAATATTAATGGCTGCTGAAAATTCCGCTTGGCTATTATAGGAAACATTGCATTTTAAAATAATTTTGTTTACAATTACTATGTTTTGTAAAATTTACAATATTATTGTTTTCACTGTATTTTTGATCAAATAAATGCAGCCTTGGTTACCATAAGAAACTTCAAAACACTGAACGTTAGTGTATCTGCATGGATCAATACACAGTACAACACACACACACAAAACTAAAATAAAATAAAATTTATATACAAAATAGGGATTAGTCTTATTAGCCAGTGTGATACTACCTAGCACACTAGTTTTACATTTTCTTCAGAAAATGTTTGAATCTGCTTATTCCTACAATTTTACACAGCAAAGTGTAATGACTTAGAATCTGGGCTTGAAATCTAAAAGAACTATGAACTATCACTTGTACCTTTGAGTAAGGCACTTAACACCAAGTTGATCCAAGGGACTAGAGACTCTTAAGTATACAGCAAGTTGTGGTAGATGAAAGTATCAGCTGAATGATAAATTAATAATTAGTTATTCTTAGAAAGTGAGCAGCTTCCTTGAGGTCAGGAGGAGGTGTTGTGAAATTGTTATGCTCAAATAATGGCTTAATTGCTCAGATCTCTTTGTCTTAATTAATGGCACTAAGACCTTGTGAAAAATATCACAGCGGTATTGAACCAACTTAAAACTACAAGGTAAACTGGCTTGTCTGGCTCATGCTGATTCTTCTGTGGCACACACTGTGTTGTGCCAGGTATGAGGGGATATTAATATTCACAGTAACAGGAGGTGATCCCCATGTGATACAGTTTTATCTGGTGGTATCTCACTCATGCCATAAAAATCACACCACCCAACAAAACCTAGAGTCTTTAATCTGTTCCAGTCATACAAAAGCCTACACACATCCTGTCATGACTGTTTTGTTGACCTTTTCTCCAGGGAAATAACCAGTCTTTCAGAATCAACTACTGAACAAAACATACACGGTATTAATTAAACCATATGGTTCCTGTACTATAACGGCTCAGATAATGCCTTTGCACACATAATGGACAGGCATTCTAGTTGTTAAAGAGTGTGACTGTATTTTTCCAGGCATACCACTTTCTTGCTATCAATAAGAAGCTCGGTTTGAGTGGGAGACCAGAGAGGCCTGTTGGCTGCATTGGCACTTGCAAGGTAAACAATGTTCTGTGTGCTCTCCTGACAAACATTTTCTCATTTATTTCAGCTCCTGCTCATTACAGTTCTTAGTGTTTGAACCTCATAATAAAAAGAGGCTCAGAGCAACACTATGGCTATGATAATAAATATTAGTCCAACTCTAAAAAAAAATAAATAAATAAAAATACATTTTGTGCACATTTATGTGCACTATATTTTTTAAGCCATAAATTGTATATGTGTGAGGAACAGACTGAAATTTAAGTTGGTATTGACTGATCCTTTACAAAAATTAACCATGGTTTTACTACAAATAAAACCAATATAACCATGGCTACTATAGTTATGCCATATATCATTGTTGTAGCCATTTAAGAAAATGTATTTGTAGAAAATTGTGTCATTTGTAAACGTCATAAAGGGCATGGTAATGAATTGGATGACAATATGCCGGGAGAAATGGAGAGAACAAACTTCATATGTTTTTTGTTTTGTGGAAAGTCCCTTTTCGAACGAATTTCATTTTGTATAATTTGGATCTTAACTTTAATCAATGTTTTGTTGATCAATTATCGAATCAAATAAATAAGAACAAGGATAGAACGCATTGTGGAATGAAGTGCGTAATGAAATGCAAACCCACTACCATGCTTCCGTGGCCTGAAGAAAAGGCCAGAACAAATGGTAATCAGTATGCCAAAAAAAACATGGTTGCTACGCTTTTACTACAATAAAACCATGGTTATTTTTCGTAAAGGGTTGGTTTGCTTTTCAAACAGTATCTGACTGATTTGTTTAGAAATGATCTAGTTGCCGCAGTTCTTGAGTTAACATCTTGGTAACAGAGTAGATTAATGAAAAAAATCTGTATATTAAATCTGTATCTGTATCTCATTATATGGCTTTCAAAGACTTGGAAAATAGCACTTAACTCATGAAGTACTTTTATGGTTGTTTTGTCATTTTTGGAGCTTTACAGCCATGGTCACTATGACTTTTCATAAAGATTTGTCAAAATATTGTATTAAAAATAGAACTACCCCTTTAACTAGACACAAATATGAACTATAGATGATTAATTATAAGCCTATTGTTCTATTCCAAAACCTGCTGATCCTCACTACCAGCATTGTTTTTTTAAGCACGATGACATTTGGGGAAGATAAAAATAAGAACTCCAGACAGAGTAATTATCCTCTGTATTTGATAGAGAATTGATTATATTAAGTACTGTATGACAGTGGTGGGCAGTATGCAGCTTCTCCTAGAAATACTTAGAGAGTTACAGGGATGTTCCTATGTCTGTCAGTGCAGAACGAATGCAATGTTTCATATGCTGTCTGAGGTAAAGTATATGTCTAGATCTACCAGTCATCCATATAGTTGCAGGTAACGCAGTGGGTCATTTCTCTCCCCCTCAGATTTATCGAATCCTTGGAAAGACTGTGGTCTGCTATCCAATTGTCTTCGATCTTAGCGACTTCTACTTGTCCCAGGATGTCATGCTTTTGATAGATGATATTAAGGTGAGTTGGGCGGTATCACACCTCACCGGTTCCTCAGACGATGTAAGAAGAGGGCTCACTTTATGTTCCATACTTTGTCTATCTTTCTATATAAAGAAAGAATCAAATTTAGGGCAGAAAATGGGCAATGGACAGAAACGTTCCCCATAAATCATCAGTGTCGGCCCTCTTCTGCTATCTGCACTGTATTAACGCGTTTGTGTTTACACGTGTTTTGCAGAATGCCTTGCAGTTTATTAAGCAGTACTGGAAGATGCCAGGCCGACCTCTCTTCCTTGCCCTTATCAGAGAGGACAACATTAAGTAAGAGTCTCTCCAGGATCAGCCAGATCCTGGTTTTGTTTATGAAAGGTTCAGTAATGTCATCTCTTGCCTCCTAGGGGAAGCCGCTTCAACCCCATCCTGGACATGCTGGCGTCTTTTAAGAAGGGAAACATTGGAGGAGTCAAAGTTCACGTGGACAGACTTCAGGTGTGCTGCTCTTTACAATAAATTATTTTACTGTATATAAAAGTATTTTTGACTTCTAAAATCAGCATTTCCCTCGTAAAAATTAAACTAAAGTATTATTAAAAATGAAAGAAAGCATTATTAAAAGATGTATTTATAGTTCTCTGAATAGTTAAATTTTGTTCAAATTAGACAAGGGAAATCTGAGAAATCACAAAGCATGGTTTTGAAATTATTATTTAAATAATTAATTTAAAGAAGTATATTGCCTAAGGCATATTGCCTATTTAGCCTTGAAACAGTCAATAAAACCTTAGTTGACAATTACATTTAGACGACTGAACACAAGCAGACTTTACTACAACTATTCCTGTTGAGTTGGCGTATACACTACCATTTAAAGGTTTTTGGTCAGTTTTTTTTTTTTTTAATGTGTTTTGAAAGAAATCTTTTTAGAAATCTTTACATTTTAAAATGTAATGTATTCCTATTTTGAAATAACCTTAATTTTCAGCAGCCATTACTCCAGTCTTCAGTGTCACATGATCCTTCAGAAATCATTTTGATATGCTGTTTTGGTGCTTAAGAAACATATATTTTTTATTATTATATCAATGTTGAAAACAGCTTTTGGATCAATTTTTTGGATCAACAAAGTTCAAAAGCATTTATTTGAAAGAGAAGACATTATAAATGTCTTTACTGTCACTTTTGATCAATTTAATGCATGCGAGTCCAAATTTTTGAATGGTAGTGTACAATATATTGAGCCATTCAATTATAGTGAAGTCACCTCAAAATGTCTACAGGTAGACAATGGAAATATTGAGCTATATAAGTCTGAAAAGAGTTACAAACTCATTTCTAAGGTTCATAGACTCAATTGAACACAATGTGAGCCATTAGACCCTGAGTTTTGGTAAATGTTCACAGAGTTGGTCAACCTGTCAAAATTTCAAGGGCATAGCACCTCATGCAGAAGATTCAAAAGATATCAGAAAACAGTTAAAGCATCGCAGACTGTGCCTGTACAATAAAATATAGTGGTGGCAGCATGATTGTATTAGAGATTGCCTTGGGACCTGGATTAACTGTTATTATTGAAAAAAACACCAGTTCTGCTATATGCGCGTAATAGACAGTTGTTAAGGAGAATGTCCAACCAAGCTGAAGCTTAAAGTCACGATGTAACAGATTGTAACATTTTTTTTCATGTTGTGATGTACACCTGAGTGAAATGGAGTATCAAAAAGAAAATAGTGAAAGGTGAGGTCTTGGTTCTGTTTGTTGTTTGTTGTTGATTGGATGGAGGCTGTTCTGAATGTGAGCTTGCATTCAGACCAGATATCAGATGAAATTATTGGAGACTTCTGGCATACATCACCAGAGAGAAGTGTCATTTCCCTGGGATACTGAGTTATGACGTAAATTACAAGGTCAATTTTTTTCTCTATTAGTAATTTCAATAACATTTGATTAGAGTGTTAATGATGGCATTTAGAAAATAGATAGTGTGACTTTACATTTCGTGCTGACTTTAAGTGTAATTGGGTGATGCAGCAAAACGATGATTAAGATTATATCTGAATGGCTAGAAAGAAATAAAATAAAGGTTTTGGAGAGACCTAGACAAAGTCCAGACTTCTGGAATTTGATAGAGACAAGTTCTTGACAGAGATTCTGCCAAAAGACTTTGACAGAGAAAAGCAGGCTCATAATATTTAAATCATAATACATATGCACTGTTTCCACTTGGTTCCCTTTGTGAAATATTTCATTTATATAGCCATAGAGAGCATAATAAAGAATATCACAACAGGGGAAAATACTCTTTTACGGCACTGTAGTTGCTTAGCATGTTGATTAACAGACATTTAGGACATATTACATGTATCATTGCATGTCTTGTCTGAATGCCTGTGTAACATTATAACATTCTTTGTGGAAACTCTATAGACCCTGATATCAGGCGATGTGGTGGAACAATTGGATTTCCTTCGTGTCAATGAAGCTGAGTAAGAATTAACCTCCATTTACACCATTTATTTTCCTCTCCACCTTTATGTTCAATATGATTCACTTATTGAGGCAATAGAAAGCAATAACCCTTATGGTCTTTAATGCATGCCTCAGGTTCATCTTCCATTTCCTATTGCCTCAATACTTCCTTTATGTTCTTTCTGTAGGATCCCAGAGTTTAAGAGCTTTGAGGAGCTGGAATTGCCCAAGCACTCGAAAGTGAAACGTCAAACCAGCACGCCGAACGCCTCTGACCTGGAGGAGCAGCCCGAGATCAACACTGAGGAATGGCTCCATAAATCCACATTTGAGATTCTACAGAAATTCAATGTGAGCCTCACTATCCTGCCCATGTGTGATTATGAGTTTCATATAGGTGCTCTTATGTAACTCATATTCTGTTATCAGGACTGTGACTGTCTGGCCAGTCAAGCCCAGCTGGCCAGTATTCTCCTCAAAAAAGAAGGCCCTGACTTCTTCGATAGAAACGGTATGTGATTTCTCTTGATTTCAATAGCAGTTTTTCCTAGCATTTTCATGATTAAATGTGTAAGGCTGAAGTATTTCAGCAAAATTAAAATGATGGGCTTTTTAAAGAGCCACAGGACACGTCTTACCGCATGGCTGCTTTTAAAGCTCATCTGAATGAAATGTCCACAGCTGTAATCCATTTAGTGCCTTCATGGCTAAGCAAGTGGGGTGGCAATGCTAGCTCACACCCTTGTCATTCCCGTAGTTACAGTTTATCTCGTAGCTCAAGATGGTTCACACTCTTAAACGGACCTATGGAACAAGCGTGGCGCGATTAAATATATGCTTATATGTGATTTTATGTCACAATCTGGAGCTTCCACATGTCTTTGGGCCTAAATGCTCCAGGAATGTTGTCTGAAAATATGTGTTTTTATGGTTAACGTGCCATTCTTAACCCTCCTTTGTGTTCAGAGAATCTTAAAGATGACTTGGAGAGACTCGGTGCGTAGTGCTGCGGCCGTTATCCAGAAGTTTGCCGGTTCTATAGCTCCCCATATAACCACTATGTTGGTCCATGGCAAGCAGGTAATTGGCCATTGGGGCACACAACCTCTGCATGTGTGGTGTAACTGTTGACTCTGTGCCGACGGATGTGTGAACTCATGAGCACGCAGCACTCATCCTTTGTTGTTTTTCTTTACATCCGCTCACTCAAGCTGTTGTGATCATGCACAGAGAAACCATGCAGCTCATTACTTGTTTGTCTTTTCCTTTTATAATTGTTATTTTGCGCATATGGTAATTTTTTTTTTTTGGAGGCAAGCTATTTTGTATCCTTCATAGCACAGATTGATGTCTCATAGCTGAGGTTATCACTGTAACAATGTTTAATTTGCAGTTTGTTTGTGAACTAAATCCCATTATGTCTGTGACAGTATAACCTGTCCATAACACCTATTGATATTAATTCCTCAAAGGAATCCATCAGCTAAACATGAAATTGGTGAACATTAAAAGTTGTAGCTCAAATTACGTTAAAGTCATGGATTCAATTTCCAGGGAATGCACCTACTTATAAAACTTATACCCTGAATACACTGTAAGATGACTTTGGATGAAAGCGCTTGCCAAATAAATAAACAAATGAATGGTAGTATAAGTATAACATTGTATTATAAAGTGTAGTCCAGGAGCAAGAACAGCAGGGTCTGAATGCCCAGTGCCACTTTGTCATTTTGAGATGCTGCGCTCTCCTGATCGTTTTCATCCCAGAGGGCCCAGCTTGAAATATTAATGAGGATTTAAATGCTACAGGGGGTCAAAATATATAACAACATCTCATTTATTCAAATGAGCATCATGCTGCATTACAATTAGATAAAAAAAAAATCGAAAGTTCAAAGAAGTTTGGCGGGGTTCACAAAGTTCTTGTAACAAGCCTTTTTGGTGATACAGTATATGTGAAATGATTTACCTTTGACCCCCAGCTACATAATTTGTCATTGCTTATGAGGCAGCAAGTCTTACAGTTGAGTTCAAAACTTTAGGGTCGTTAAGATGATTTAATGTTCTTGAAGTCTTTTATTCTCACCAAGTCTGCATTTATTTGATCAAAAAATACAGTAACAGCAGTAAATTGTTATTTTTATATATTTTAAAATGTATTTTAATACTGTGATCACAGAGCTGAATTTTTGCAGGCATTACTAAAGTCTTCAGTGTCACATGATCCTTCAGGAATCATTCTAATATGCTGATTTGGTGCTCAAGAAAGATTTCTTATGTTGCAAATCGTTGCTGCTTAATATTTTTTGTGGAAACTATGATACATTTTTCAGCATTCTTTGTTGAATAGAAAGTTCATAAGGACTTGAAATGGAAATCTTTTGTAACATTATAAATGTCTTTGCTGTCACGTTTGATCAATTGAATGTGTCCTTGCAGAATAAAAGTATCAGTTTATTTAAAATAATCTTACTGACCCCAAACTTTTGGACAGTAGTGTATATTTTAGGAATAAACTATATTTTGTAATAGGCTATAGTGCAGCCCCATTTATGTTTGGCTCCATTGAATGAGTGAGAATATCTCTGTTGTACTGTGTTGTGTTCACCAGGTCCATTGTGCGCCTTGCTGCCAGTCTCTTAACTAAACTAGTGGACAGCCTTGCACCGAGCATTACTAGCGTTTTAGTGCATGGCAAGCAGGTAAGTGGAACACAGGAACAGGGGCCTAAAGAATTGTTATGAACAGCATCTGAAGTCAAAAATATAAATTTCAATCCGGGATTTCCCACAAACTTTTTAATGTTCACTGACTATAAGTAGGCAAAAATTAGCCTTAAAATGTGTTTCAGTCATGATGGACTCCTCTTCCTATTATGTAACATGATAGTATCTAATTGCATTAGTCACCACTGCCAAAGCTAACCTGCTGCCCTTTCATTTGACGCTTAACCAATCATTCTGCAGCAAAATCGCTTTTACCCAGAACTCCTGCAGCCATCCCATTGGTTCGTGTAATACATTTAACATCATTGTACATTTACCTTTTATTTGCTTTGTGTTGAGACAAACATTACGTGTGGTGTGGAGTATTTGTTTAATGAACTGCCATAGTTTCCCAACATAGGCCTTTTTAGCCCCTGGTGGTTGTGAAATGATTCATCAGAGTAGCGCACTAGCAGTGAATCTGCATATAAATTACATCCTAGGGGCCTAATGTTGTGGGTAAGATAAATGGGTACGTTTTGGTTTGAAAATGGGTCATTCCTTGCATCCTAAGAGCAGTCTTAGCTGACCTGCATGTAGAATTATAGAGTCTTAGCCTTATTTAATTTAAAGAAGCTGAGCCCTTATCTGTGTGCTCCCTACTTAATGTGTATTTGGGTAAATTGTAGGGGTGATAATCGCAGGGTACCTCATGATACGATACGAATCACGATACATGGCTCACGATACGATAATATCGCGATACATCGATTCTGCGGTAATCGATATATTGCTAGACAATTCTATAATGATACATCACGATATCTGTCTAACTATGAAAACAAAATGCCTGTGAAAAGTTTAAGTGCAAGTTTTCTCTCTTTATTCAAGTCCAAACTGTTAGAAAGCAGCACAAAAGTTCTGTAAATCAAATTTAACATGCTAAGGAAATTAATCATTTTATTCTTGGACTTACTAAAAGCTTACACTTTTCTTTGTGTGTAAACCAACACATTTAACTGCTTATCAACTTTATATATAGCCTATATATAAACCTGGTACATTTCAAAATTTACCTGGAGTGCTTTCTCAACCTTTCCTCTCCTCTCATCATAAAAACGGAGCCCCGCGCACGACATGCAGGGGGGGAAAAAGTGCATCTTTTGCGCGCTCAGGTTCGTTATTTCAAATGTAGACGCGCGGCAAGCAAACACACTGCAC